TTACCTGTTTTCACTGTCTCGCTCTAACTGAACCTTCCAAGATCACTGATGAGTTTGTGCCTGTTGGGTTGTCTAAAGCTTAGTCTCTCCGTTTTCTTCATACCATTACAGCTAAACAAGAAAGGAAACTGATTTGACTGGAAAAATGTAGACGTTTTAAACACAAGAAATATCAGAAATGCCAAGGAATTCCTAGAGGCCTGGTATTCACAGAAATCAGCGTTCAACAGACACACATTATTATCAATCAAATTTATGAACTAATAAATAATAAGTTACCGGACAAAATAGATCAAATTCCAAGTTAATAAAATCGATCAATACTGAGGCAAACATTAACAACCAATCACAGCAAAGGAGGTTGTCAGGAGATACAATTATATCATTCACAAAGGATCAAAATAAGTTCACTCTCTACTGAAGTTTGCGCTGAAGACTTAGTCTAGATAAAAGCTTTGCAATTAAACTACCCAGTTCAGGAGAGACAACCACAAAACAGTTTATAAAATTTTAAACTGTAATAATTAAATGTTTGGAATACATTTTAGTCTGACCGGTAATACTGTAACGGTAGATGATAAGTGACTTTGTAATGGACCTTCATTGAAGAAAAACACGTCATATTTGTACATTTGAGCCAGATTAAAGTTCGGATAGGTCAGAGGAGAATAAATTGTTCTGATTGGTCGATGATTGCCCCAAGGTTAAATAAGTTATCCAATGACGTTATTTTATGTCCATATCGTGAACTAATAATAATAATAATAATAATAATAATAATTTGCTTTATTCCAAAACAGTACATGTGATACAGAATGGAATTCTCAGCATATTTACTACAGTATTGCATCCAGTTAGTACATTATCAATAAATAAAATTCTACATAGATTAAGGAAATCTCAGTTCATTATGACAACAACATATTGGCATGTCGGTAGCAAAGCCAAAGCTGAACAGTGTTTGAAGGTGTTAGAAAAGTAGGAACTGTCATATTTGGTAGAACGCGAACAATAGAGTGATCAGAGTTGAGGATCGGTGCACGGTTACGTGCTTCATAGATTCCTTCGTCATTTGTGAAAACTAAATCGAGTGTTTTGTCAAGTCAAGTGGGAAATTTGACAATGTTTGAGTGACCAAGTGCTTCAAGGAAAGAGCAGTCTGACGAGTTGAATTTCCCAGTAATAACAGATAGAGAGTTATCGAAGTTGGCAGCGGCAAACATAGTGAATTCATCAGCAAAATTTGAAAGATTAGATAGTGAGCAACTGGGAGAAATATACATGTTTGTAACAAAGATATGTTTATACTTGGGGAGATGTTTGGGACAACATTTGATGGCGATCCCGTCTATGAAGTCATTTGAGAATGAGAAGCAAACATTATTAGAAATAGACCATTTGGAGTGGATAAAGGTAGCAACGCCGCCCCCATTTTTCTTATTACAACATTGTCGGTCTTGTCTAAATAGGATGAAGTCCTTTAGTGAGATGAGATTGTCATCATACAGTTCATGTAACCATGTTTCTTGTAATGTGATTATCGCAGTATTGTGATAGGTGTCAGTGGACATCAAGGATTGTAGGTACATTATCTTGTTAGTCAGAGAACGGCAGTTAGTGTTCATTATAACAGGGACCGTAGTTAAGTGTATTGGTGTACGTTTAAGAGCTCTCTGCCAACCACTACGATGCTTCCTCCTTGATTTCGTGGGGATATGAAAGTCATTGGGTCGTAAATGATTAATAAAGTTACGAGAGTAAATGATCCTTTTAGAATTCATATTTGGGTGATAAATAAATGGAGTAAATGGTAGGTTGGATGCAATATGTAGATGTTATAATAGCAGGCCCAAAAATTCAAACAGGCCGCCAAGGTCAAGGTCGTAGGTCATGATTTAATGAATAAACACTTCTACTTCTGCAGCCATCGACTTAAAAATGTTGATTTCAATTATGACCACTTCCCATCTGCATAATTCCACAATACAACCTAGTAGACTGCAAGCAATACAAACCTTATGCGAAAAAAGGATAACACTTGGACATAATGGTATAGTATAACTCCATTGTGGACAAAACTTTTATTTCGATAAAATTACACAGTGTTATACATTAATACTGTCTGACAGTAATACAGTTTACTAATGACGAAGTTTCTAATGCAAATTATTGCCACTCATAATCATATCAAGGTATTCACAATGAAATGAAACAGATAGAAGGAGAAGCGTTGGTGTTAAATAAATAACTATCATATAAAATTCATTAGGGTTATCAAAAAAACGTCAAAAGCAAAATAAAAATAATTATGAAACTAATTATGATAACATAAATAAGAAATAATATAAGTTATTTACAGTACTTTTACCATATAAGGAAGGGACATCTGAGACGCTATGTAGGATTCTTAATAAAGCAGGAATTCGAATGGCATTTAAACCTGCAAACTCATTCAGGTATGACAAGCTCGGTTGACCCAATTCGACAAAATAATATAATTTACAAAATACCTTACAATGACTGTGAGTTAAGTCAGCTATATAGGTCAGTCAAACTAGTAGATCAGGTGTAGGGAGATTATTAGAACGTAAGAATTTAGCTAAAGTGAGAATGGTTTACCCGCGAAGATAAGTAATTTATAAAAGAGCTTAGCAATTGCACTGAATGGATTAACACACAACCATACAATGGGGTGGGGGGGAGAGGGTTAAAATTCTAAAAAAATAATGTAGGTAGGTGGAGATAGCGAGAGGTTGATTACTGAATCCTGTCTGGTTCATGGAGTCTACCTACACCCAACGCATTCAACAGAAATGACTTAACGCAAATACCAGAGATATGGGAGACATCAGTAGTACCAGTCAAATCAGAGGAGGATAACAGATAATCTTAAAGTGTATTCAGTTCACATTCTAACAAGTTACTCCTTTTTACTGTAAAGAACATCTTGTGTCCCATCTGGTTGTATTTTATTGATAACACTGATATTATTTCCGAATGTACTTTATCTTATATTGATTTTATTCATCAAATGTCTAATCATCAATTTCTACTCATGTACATAAACGAAGCAAGAAAGTTGTGTTTGAGTAGTACCATGATATGATTATGAGGTGTGGTCATCAGTAAAACCTTATGCGAGTCTAAAAAAACTAGTCTGACAACTAATCACAAAGTCAAACACCGCCATCACAACAACAAAAGTACGTTGCTAGGCAGAAACAAGAACAGAAGGCGACCTGTTGACAAAAGACCCTTTTACTGTCTCTAATTACAGTGTTCAACAATACTTCACAGAGATGCTGACTGGATATATGCAGGTTTTAAATGACCTTGATGAAAACTAAAATCAAAGCAAGTGGAGATTCAGCGAAGAGACTCTTTTCAACAATGAATTTATTATCAAGCTGTACAATCGTATATATATATGGTTTTTGAGGAGTTATATCCGGTGAGGGAATTGAATCATAGGTGTGAATGCATGAAATAATAATAATAATAGTATGAAATGCAATTAAAGCTAAAATGTTTGTGATTATAATCATAGTTAAATGTCAAGTGGCAAAACAATTAATGTCAGATATATAGAATAATTCATAGGATGGATAGAACTTGAAAAAGGGTGTGCAATTATAGGATTAGTAGACAAATCGAATAAAATAAAAACGTTACGTAATATTATGTGAAATTTGATAGCATAAAATTTAACATTGTAAAACAGAAGAATGGATTTAGAATGACAAGTGGAACAGGTTAAATAATACCGGGGACAATTAAAAGTGAGAGCAGTAATAGTAACAATTGACTTAATAAGGAAGAGTATACAAATTGACTAGACAAAAGTGAAAAAATGAAAAATTGGGGATTACCATACTTTAGCATAGAGGGATTAAGACCATGAATGTTGGATGGGTTGAACGAACTTTCTCTGTACACAGAGATCTCCCTTTTCTGTTTCGATAGCCAAAGATGGCTTCAGCAATACAGATGAGTCGGGTACGTAGGGATTTGGGTAAATTACTCTTTGCCTTGTAGATGACTTTAAAGGCGCGGAGGCTATAGAGTGATAGGGTGATCACTATCGACCAGATGTTCAATGATCGCGCTTCTTATTGCACTACTTCCACCTTTTCGTAACCATGCAGGATAGTGTTCTTGCACCCTCTTGGACAAAACTCGTGTCGAACGACCGATATACCTAGCTTCACACGAGCAGGTGAATTGATAAACGCACACATAGAGTTAGTCAACAGCGGGATCTTGTCCTTCAGGTTATTGAATAGTAGTAACGGTCGACTAGTAAAGGCTATTCTCAGGGATGCAGCAGGGAATATAACTTCTTAAAAACCATATATATATATATATATACGATTGTACAGCTTGATGATAAATTCGTTGTTGAAAAGATTCTCTTCACTGAATCATTTGTTTTGATTTTCTATATGTTACAATGGGAATTTTCCATGATATAAAGAATACTAAAATGACTAGGAAAATTTAAAGATTTAACAGTCAACAAGAGTTTATCTCTCACAAAGAGTGGAGAAAAATAAACAGAAAAGGGCTATGAGTGATTGATAACTGTCAGAATAATTGTTATGTCAACATTAAGTCATCCCTATTATTACTCCATTGTGTTCCAAGTTGAACACAGACTTTCAGCAGCAGCAGCACATCAACAGCACTTTATCCTGTTATCTTCAGTCTTGTTTATCTAACCTCACGACTGTCCATAAGCCTTCATTTCCTCCTTACACACGATCGCCTTCATTTCACTTTTAAACCCACATCCAACTTGTTGTGTCTTATTCATGTCCCGTCTGAGAGATTGGCGTGTGATGTCACTCAGAGGTCTTCTCAGTGTATGTTCAATCCGTCTTCATATCCTTCTGCATATTTGTTGATCTGGTACCACAACTGAGGGCCTGACAAAGATGATGCGAATTTGCGGGTGTATATTATCTAAATATACTTATAAATATTCATTACTTCCTTTTTAGATTTTCACACCAAATGAAGATGCATCACATATTCTACAATTTCTTCTGCACAAATTTCATCTGTCTAATAAATGGTTAGTTAGTACCAATTGAAATAATAATTGCTTTGTACTTTTTTTTTAACAACTCTTTATTAATATGTTTCATCCAGTGGAGAAGTACAACGTATTACACAATGATGTATATGATTTATTGTATAAGTAAATGCGCATCCTGGATCCCACCACTGCTAGTTACCATCCACCAATTAAATATCAACGGACTGCCTAATAAACGGCCACAAAGAGATGACAGAATAACCTTCAGCAAGAAAACAACCAATCAGAAGACGTTACCTCTCTGCTAACAATAACGAATATTAATGTACATAAAAATCTAAAAATATCTGTTGATTTTCTTAGTAAACGATCTATTGTCTGGCCCTTGTCTTCTGTTGTTACAATATTACTATGGTCATTATTATCAGTAATATATACATGTATATATTTGTTTCTACCTACTTTTAGGGATTTTGATACAGCGCTTTATTTATGCAGTCCATCATTTCGTCATATGGATTTAGAACAATACCAAATGGAAATACTCAATTCAAATCTAATTCTTCCTTCATATATATGTGGAATAGTAATATTAACTAAACAAGTATTATTCCATCTTATTGGATATCATAAAAGGTAACAATAATAATAATATTATTATTATTTTTGAAATAATTAGTTCCCTATTTATGAATTTCGACAAAGATTTCTGCATGTCGTGCATTGAGAGTTTATCGGAAGATTTCATCGAAAATGTACCACTCTGTGGGAGATAGATGTGTTGATGACACTTACCTATACTTCTTTTAATGTTCACCGTTATTCTTTTCTGGGTTGCTTTAAAACAAAGACTATGCCACACTTCATACTGTGGTGGTGTGATACAGACAATGTGTGCCAAAGGAATATGATTTTCAGATATTCCCACAGTTCAATACGGCAGTAGCAACAGAATTCGATATACCTATTTGATTCATGAAAAATTTCCATTGTAACGTATAGAAAATCAAAAGAAATGATTCAGTGAAGAGACTATTTTCAACGAATTTATTATCAAGCTGTACAATCGTACATATGTACATGGTTTTTAAGAAGTTATATCCAGTGGGGGAATTGAATCACAGGTGTGAATGCATAAAATAATAATAGTGCTAGTATGGAATGCAACTAAAACTTGGCTGAGGAGTCCCAAACTAGGACGAAACAGCTGTCTAGTACTCCCAGGTTTTCCAGTGGCTCTCTAACTGATGTCAGCTCATGATGAAATCCGCCAACCAATCAAACAAAAAATCCCTATAAAACCAATACTTGAAAATTAAAACTAAAATGTTTATGATTATAATCACAGTTAAATGTCAAGTGGCAAAACAATTAATGTTATATATAGAACAATTCACAGGATGGATAGAACTTGAAAAAGTGTGCAATTATAGGATTAGCCACAGAAACTTCAAGCCTCTAGCTAGAAGCCCCTATGTTCCATTGGGAACGTAAAGGAATTAAAAAAATATACTGAAAGCGAGGTTGGTGGTGTAAAAAAATGGAAATATTTATAATTATCCAGTGTCACCTGGAGAGACAACTCTCCTAGGCTGAGGTTGAAGGCCATGGAAGGGAGACGAATCGGACAAACTTTTTCTGAGCACACAAAGATTTGGCAAGCCTACTATCAGCTTCTTTGGCATTATCCAACATGGTGAGGTTAAAGAGTTGTAAAGTCAATCTGGAGCTCCATATTGGCGCAAATGTTGTAGATACAGATCACAATATTGATAGGAACAATTCATCCTATACAATTGTAGACAAGATGCCACTTCAATTCGATTGCTAAGCATAACTAATAAAAACATTTTAGCCGAATCTTTGTGTGTTCAGAAGAAGAAGTTTGTTCGATCCCTCTCCCTTCGATGGCCTTCAACCTCAACATAAGAGAGTCGTCTCTACCGATGACACCGGATAACTGAAAATTTTACTTTTATTCGTACCATTAACCTTGTTACCAATATCATGTTGTGGTATATCTACGTATTCGCTTGTTGAAATGGTGTTCTAAAATTATCCTAATGGGGATATTTAAAGTATCATGGTTTGCAATTAATAGTGTTCTCTGAGCTGGTTGGTTTAGTTGCGGAGCTTTCGTCGTTCTTGTGGACAACATCTTCAGAGCAATATTTAGCATAAAGTGAAATGATTTAAATTTCTTCATGAGTGATATAATTGCGTCTCCCTGTAACCATCTTTACATATGTATTGACCATTTTCTATTGACTTGGATTTTAAACTTTCTGGTCACCTGATTTACTTATTGTTAGTTGGTATATTTCGTCTATATTAACGTGTTTGTTAATTGCATTTTCGTTTGAATACCAGGCTTCTAGGAATTCCCTGGCAGTGGTTTTGGTGTTTCCTCTGTCTAAGATTTCGACATTATCCCAATCAAATTGATGTCCATAATTTTCTATAGGCATTGATACTAAAGAATATATATCGTGTCTTTTCACGGGTGATTTATGTTCTTGGATTCTGATTCGAAGGGGACGCCCACTTTAGTAGATGTAATGCTTGTTGCAGTTCGTACAATTTATTTTGTAAATGGTATTAATTTTATCCCCTTTTTCTGTTGGATTTTTCGGTTTGCATAATATCGAATTAAGCGATTTGACTGGCTTGTGTGCTACATCCATATCAAACGGTTTCAATATTCTAGCTGTTATTTCAGAGATATTTCTCATGTATGGTAGAATGAATTTTCTTGTGGTCTTTGATGATGGTTTCTTGTTGGTGTTGGTGTTGGTGATTCGACTTTAAACACTTTTTGATGAAATTTTGTGGATAACCATTCTTTTTGAAGACCGTTTGTAGGTACTTTTCTTCCATTCTTTTCAACTCTGGAGTGCTACAATGTGTTTGAACTCTTTTAAACAATGTATGCACACAGTTTCGTTTGTGAGTAACTGGATTATTGCTAGCATAGTTGAGTATTTGATCTGTGTGTGTGCGTTGATTTTCTATATACCAGAGAACACTATTAATTGCAAATCATCCACTTGAGCCACAAATATTCTCTATTATTTTAAAAGTATCATGGTGTTGGTTCGCAGAAATTTGATTTGACTGGTGACAGGATTTCATTATGAGCTGACATCTGTTAGAGAACCATTGGAAAGACACCACTGGAGTACTGGACGGCTGTTTCCTCCGTCCTAGTTTGGAACTCTTCATCAGTACGCACCAACCACCATGGTCGGAACGCATAGCCTTCCGTTTACAAGGCAAGCCCGTAGACCATTAAGCCACTTGGGACCTGATCAAGAGGCTCATGATTTCTAACTTCTGTCAATTCACGATAAAGCGAGTATTTGTCCTCACACCTAACCTGCTATATCGTGAATTGGCAGAAGCTGGAATTCGTGGGTTATTAGATCAGGTCCTAGAGGCTTAATGGTCTACAAGCTAGCCTTGTAACCAGAAGGTGCTGGGTTCGAATCCCCCGGTAGGTGAGTAATGCTGAAGAGTTTCGAAATAGGATGAAACATCTGGCTATCCAGTACTTCTAAGTTTTCCAGTGGTCCTCTAACCGATGTCAGCTCATGATAAAATCCTGTTGCAGTTTCATTTACGTTTCTCTCTTCTCCTCAATAATCATGTGTACTTTTATGGAATGTGGCAACTTGAACTCCTAAACTTTTGTGCTGTCATCGAGTCAGTCATTTCATACTATTTTATGCTTATATGATGATACTACTGAAATGAATTTGTCTCATTCTAATACCAAATAATTATTTACCAATTTTTGTATTTCCGGATAAATTGTATAATTGATTGAGAATGTGAACAATCGTAGCTTAAATAAATTCTCCTTTCTTTAGGCTATCTACAATTATAAATCAATTATTTCTAGCTTACACAACAAAGTCAGTAAAGGCAATTTAGAATTAAATCATAAGGGGTGACCGAATGTGTGAAAAATGCAGTCTTAACATCATACTATGTAGATAGTAGCACTTGGTCACTCTAACATTGTCAAATTTCCCACTCGACTAGACAAAACACTGGATTTAGTTTTTACAAATGACGAAGGAATCTATGAAGCACGTAGACGTGCACCGATCCTCAACTCTGATCACTCTATTGTTCGTGTTCTACCAAAAATTTACAGCAAAACACATATTAAAGTCTTCTCGCATCTGTCTATGAAAGCACAACAAAGATGCTACTCATCCGAAAACTTACTCAATCTAAGGTGCATGTTACAAAATACTAATTGGGACTTATTCCATGAAAGTTCATTAGATGACACAATCGTCAATATAACGGATTATCTCAAGTTTTGCCTTGATATATGTTGTCCCAAACAAACTCTATTCAAACGTCTCGACCGCTTCTCATCTCCTTATCTCAAACAACTTCGCAGGAAAAAAGAAACTTTGTACAAATCCAAAGACAAGTTAGGACTCAAAAAGATTAATGCTCAGATCAAATCTGAAATCAAAAATCTTAATGCTATATATAATGATACACTTTTATCATGTAAATCTCCAATCAGTATGTGGAAACTTTTTAATGAAATTACTGGTAATAGTAAGCGTTGTAATACTTTTCCCTCTTATGATGTTAATGCTCTTAATCAGTCTTTTATACGCTGTCCTTCTACTTTAACTACCTCTAATGTTACCTATCATGTTGCTGAAAACTTTCATGACTTTAATACTCTCGATGTTCTAAAATGTCTTAAAACACTCAAGCCCTCACGTAGCCTAGGTCCTGATGGTATACCTGCCTATGTTCTAAAACAATGTGCAGATGTGTTGTGTTCTCCACTAACCAACATCCTAAATGCCTCTTTCTCCAAAAATATCGTACCTGATGCATGGAAAGACATCAAAATTGTCCCTGTCCCTAAACCTGGAAATGGCAAGAACGTAAAGTTCAGACCCATTGCCATCACTTCCCCGTTTCTAAAGGTTATGGAAAAACTAATACTTCTTAAACTCGAACCCTCCCTTAAAAACTTCGAAGACCCAAAACAATTTGCCTATAGACAGGGTAGGAGTACATTAGACGCTGCAGCTGTCTTACACAACAACATCGTCTCATCATTAGATAAAGGTGCTAAATACGTCCGCTGCACGTTTCTTGACTTCACTTCTGCTTTCGACTCTGTTCCTAGATGTCTCCTTCTAAATAAGCTCTCTTTGACGAAAACTGAGTCCTGGGTCACTAACTGGTTGCATTCCTACTTCTCTAACAGAAAGCAGTACACCGTATACAAAGGTAAATCATCCTCTGCTGCACTCACTGAAGCCGGAGTCCCCCAAGGCGCTGTACTCTCCCCACTTCTCTTTTCCTTCTTTCTACATGACTTACCATCTTCAAATGACATTAATTTTGTCAAATACGCTGATGATCTGTCTGTATCTTTGCCTATCAAATGTCAAAGCGACTGCTCTAAACTTAATGGCTTTCTGTCAGAAATCAACCAGTGGTCCAAGGAAAATGGTCTTACTCTAAACCCTTCCAAATGCCAAACAGTCAATTTCACCTTTAGGCATAAATCCGACCTAAACAAACTGTTTGGCTCTCACGAGGTATGCAAAATAGACGGCACTGAAATAGAAACTAAATCGGAAATTAAATACCTAGGTGTCATTCTATCTGCTGATCTCTCCTGGTCGTCTCATATCTTAGCAATTTCTAAGAAAATATTCCGTCTTGCCTTCTACATTAAGAAGTTAAAACATTCTGGTATTACCCAACCCCTACTCCTACAATTCGTTAATTCTCGCATCCTGCCTATTATTCTCTATTGTTCCCCCTTAGTTTTTCCAGGGCTACTGAAGAAAGACTATAACATATTACGCAGGATGTTAAATGTTGTCAGCAGAGTAAGCAACGTGCCACTTAACCAGCTTGTTAATATTTTGGTTGACAGGCACATGGACTCATGTGAAAAATGGGCCAAGTCCATTTTATCTAACTCACACCACCCTCTTCACTCACAACTCTCCCCTTGCATCTCATCAGGTAAAACAAGAAGCCAATATAGAAAACTATATGCTCGCACCAGCAAGTACAAAAACTCAACCATACCCTACTTAGCTCGCGTTCTGTGTGATAAAGAAAGCATTAGGCGTGACACCTATAATTCATTAAATAGTCATTAGTACAACTGGATCTCATCTTTCCAACCCACTTCATCAATAGGTTCAACATTTCCTTTCTTTCTGTTCCTTTTCTCTCTCTTCTTTTTCCGTTATGTGCTGCTTTGTCTCTTTCTTTCGCTTACGCCAGTTAATAAGACAGCTCCCACTTTTCTAACACCTTCAAACACTGTTTCAGCTTTACCTTTGCTACTGAACATGCCAATGTATTGTTGTAATAATGAACTGTGGTTTCCTCAATCTATGTAGAATTCTATTTATTGACAATGTACTAACTGGATGCAATACTGTAGTAAAAATGCTGAGAATTCCATTCTGTATCACAAGTACTGTTTTGGAATAAAGCAAATTATTATTATTATTATTATAGTAGACATTCAATTCAACCAGAGCAGGCATTATCAGTTATCTGCCGCGTTCCTGCTGATCTATCTAATTCAGTTCGACGACGTCTTCTATTGGTAGCCGAAGTTGTAGCACTCAGTTACGGGAGACGTGGCCTCTGAATCTGGAAGAAGTACGCTTTCTTTACCTACAGTAAGGTCCAGAAATCCTTAATAAATACAAATAATTAACACTTGAAATCCCTTGTAGGGGATCAAAGAAGATTTTTCGAATTAGCTGAACCTCAGGCGTTTCATCTTCAACAATCAGCTTCTTAATCTGTGTAGACTGAAATACATGATGAGCAATTGTGGGGTGTGTGATTGTGTATCCCCTTACTCCTTTCGTTAACAAATACACTTTTGAGCAGCTGGGAGTATTATATTCCCCTTTCGCTAATTGGGATGACGTTAAGAATGGCCTAGCTACTAGGTTGTGTGGGGCAGACTAAAGAGTCGGCAGGTAGTCGTGGCTTAAAGCTCAGGTCTAGCAAGGATAGGCAGCCACACAGTAATCATGAGAGTTATTTCTTTCTGTGTGTTAATCTTACTACTACATACTGGCAGTGAGTAGTATATATGTATTAGACATGATGGAGAAGATTTGTAGCTCAGGTGGATGATTTTGATGTGCTTGTGTTCTCTGAGCTGGATAGTTAATTTGCGTGGCTTTCATTGCCCTACTAGGCGACATCTTCAGCGCATACTTCAATTTGAAGACTTCAAATGAAAGTCACGCAAATTAACTATCCAGCTCAGAAAACACAACCACACCAAGAGTATTTATGTATACTTTACCTAGAATAATATCTCGTATTCTAAGTTTTAAAAACTTTTAATGATGGCAACGAAAATCAACAACCTGTTGTGTGATGGGTTTGAAAAAGCCAATCAGATCGTTTTTTCCTGTTTGTCAGTCATTCGATTCCTTAGCTAACCACCCTCAGTTCTATCCTGATTTTCTATTCTAGTTGAAATTAAATTTATGATTACCTTAGGATTACTATAATGGCTTGGTCTGTATTAAGTAAAGTTCAGATTTAAGAGTTACACAATTAAGGCTTAGTTTTAGAAGATACAGCTCACTGATCAAGACACTCTATTCGAACTCATACAGCCAGGTGAGAGCCTATGGAGAGTTGTCATTTGAAGTGGTGACAACCAGCAGTCTCTGTCAGGGATGCCCGCTGTCTCCCATTTCTGTTTAATTTCATCATAGATGTACCCTTGATGTCTTGATGCTAACTGAATTCAGTGACTCAGGGGTTGAATTGTTGACTTGGAGTATGAGGATGATATATTCCTTCTAGGTGGTGGAGACTCTGACGAAATATCGAGTTTTCTGAACACCTTAAGGAGCAGCCATCTTCAAATGTTTGGCATGCGATTCACTCCTGTCAAATCCAAGTAAGATGATTCTACATGACTAGGGTATGCGTCCTAATTCTCAACCTATTGTATTTGATTGATAACACTCATATTATTATTATTTCTGAATGTACAGTATCCTGTATTGACTTTTATTCAAATGTCTAATCATCAATTTTTACTTATGTATATAAACGAAGCAAGAATGTTATGTGACTATTGCCTTGATATGATTATGAGCGGCAATAAATTGTGCTGGAAACGTGGTCATCAGTAAATATTACTGTATAACACTACTGTGAATTTCTCCCGAAAGAAATCCGAAACGATAATCCAAATTATAGATTTAACCACACGTAGAGTGACGCGTAAAATACAAGATATTCTGCAATACGGTACTTTATTACATAAAAATAGATATATGATATACAAACCTCAAAATGTGAGGTGTCTGTGGCTAAATGCCATCAAATGCACAACCACTGTGCAGTCAATAAGTAAAAACAGCAATGCTGTGTCAAGGTCAATCCACGTGTCGGTTCAAACGGCCCGCGAATGCCAAGCAAAGAATAAACAAATATGAACAAACAACTTTCAATAGTAAAGCATACACTGTAGGGTAAGGTCAGCTAATAATGTCTAAGGAGAAGAAAAATAAGAACTATACATTAATAGAATGATAATAGAACAAGTAATTTAACTGCACTTGTAAGCAAATGTCATTGTTATAAATTAACATAAAAATCATGCTACTTACTAATGGCAAGTAGTATGATGTTGAACAAAGGAAAGATTGAGAATGAACAGGTAGGAAAGGAATTAACAACTACGCTGTGATTTTATCAAAATGAAATCTTATCTGATTATTCTTGTTTTGAATATGTATATATATTATGAGGGTCATTCAAATTACTCAGCTCCGTATCAATTTCTCCGATCCATTACAAAATTATTTATTTTTCCCTTTATTATTATTATTAGTATTTGTATTCTATGTACTTTTAATTTCAGAATTAGAATTGATCATCTGCTCACGGAACCAATTCACAAATCCTCTATTAAACCATATAAATTTATAACACTGGATGAAGATAATCCATTGATAAGAATAAAAGCATGGCATTTGGGTGAGATTATCACTAATTCTATTATTATTATTATTATTATTATTATTATTATTATTATTGTATCCTTTAATTCCTACAGGAACATAGGGCTTCAGCCATGCGTCTCCATTGCGTTCTTTTCTCTGCTAGACTCTTCACCTTGTTCCAAGTCTGCCCACACGTTTTCATCTCCTCTTCACATGACCTCCTTCAAGTCACCCTTGAATTGACGACCAACTCGCCGCTTCCCTTTCGGGTTCCACTCGAGCAATGGCTTGTCTAGTGATGTCACTTGATGGTCGGTTTCCTCAGAGTATGGCCAATCCATCTCCGTTTCTTCCCGCGCTTATTTGTTTCACAATCGGTTCCTGGTTGGTTCGCTCCCAGAGATCTCTGCTTGTTGCTGATCTTTTCTGGCCGGCCATCTGATCTTGAGTGGTATTGAGCGAAGACAACTGTTAATGAAGGTCTGTAGTTTGTTTGAGATGCTCTTTATGACGCGCAGTGCAAGTCTCTGATCTGTATAGTAGCAATGACTGACTTCACATTGGAGTTGAAAATCCGGATCTTATTTTTCATGCTGAGTGTTGTTGACCTCCACACAGACTTGAGAGTAGTGAAAGCCTGTCTTGCTTTCCCGATTCTTGCTTTGATATCTTCGTCAGTTCCGCCTGTAGTTGAGACGATGCTAATTCTATAGTTTGTACAATTTTATGACCAGAAATGTGACCTAGTGTAGTGTGATAGTGTGATACAGATAATGTATTCCAACGGAATATCATTCTCACATATTCCTAGAGTTCAGTACTGAGTTAGCAACTGAATACGATGTATGTATTTGAACATTCTATTTCATGTCGTTTAATGTAAAGCAAAATCAAACGCTCAGTGATTGGCTACAGAGTATAAACTATATATATGTGTATATATAATTAGCGATTTGATCACTTGAAAGCATACCTTGGCTTCCGTGTCTTGCCTTCTGCTGTTACGGTAGACTATGAGCGAATACTAACTTTAATGCACTGGCTAATCTGTTCGAATCACACGACAACAACAATAATAATGCTGCCAAGCCTCAAAGACAGAAGAGAAGACTGGATGTTGGTAACAGAGCTTGGTAACTGTCTCAAACAATAGTCAAAAAAGGATGACAGAGCATGCATATATATAGAGGTTTAGAATGACCTTGAGAAGCATCGATGTCATTGATAAATTATGACAGTAAACAACCAATAGGATTTCAAAGGTCATAAGTAGGGTGAGAGAAAATTAGGTCATAAATCAATAAGTGGGCTGAGAGAAGTACTAACAGACATGTAAAAAATGACATATAGAAAATTGGGTCTGTACATATCATATAAGTTATCTTTAATCTATTGTTTATCCAAGTTAATATATTTTTCTGTTTGTTTGTTTGTACTTTTCGTTGATTGATTGGTTATATATTCGACGAAAAATGCTCAATGTCTCCAATGATATGTTAGCTCCTGCCCAGAAGCAGATGCTTCGATGATGTATGATATTTAACTTCATGTTACACGGACAAACGTGAGGACTTAATGGGATACGATCTGGAAGATCATGAAGAGTGGATACACCTGGGTCTCAAGAAATTGGTTCTTAGCACCTTGACATGGGGGTCGGAATGGCATATCACAATGACTTGATGAGTCACACTACCTGGAACGAATGTCGTTGCTGGTCCTATCATATCAGAATCGTGAACTGCAACTTTGTCGACTAGTGATATAAGGCTGTAACCGGAGAAGATAAGAGATTTGGTAACAAACATTGTTATTAAGGAAAGACACACTATATTTATACATTTTTAGCCACATTTATGGTTGGCTAGGTTAGTGGATAATAAACTGTTCTGATTGGCTGATGATTTTCTGAAGATTAGACCTTGAGATGAAAAGTCGTCCAATGAGATCATTTCTTGACCACAATGTAAGCTAGATCCAGCTTTGGAAAATAGACTCTCCCTTTTCTTTTGTAGACACTGACTTAAAATATTGTTTTCAATTTTGGCTACTTGCAATCAATCTGCGTGCATATACTACTTATAAATCTTGTCAGTAGTACACGCCACAGGGCTACTGTCAATGAAATCCAATCCAGGCTACTAAAGGGTCAACCAGCTTGAATTCGTAATCTGTAGGTCCCAGGTTCCACTCCGGCATGGTTCGTGGTAGGGCATTGCTGAAGAGTTCCTAACTAGGATGAAATAGCTGTCCAGTACTCTCCAGTTTTCAATGATGTCTAACTGATGTTAGTCTGTGACGAAACCTAAAAAGTGGAATTAATAATAATAACAAATCTATGGAACTATTCGGTCATATCTTGGTCATAGCTCATGCATTTTTGTTTTTGTTTATTTTTGATCACTATTCATAACCCAAGGACATTGGCTAGTGGTCGCGCTATGTCGTGAATTGACAGAATTTGGAATTCATGGGCCATTGGGTCGGGTCCCAGTGGCTGCTTAATGGTCTACGAGCTAGCTCACCTTGTGACCAGAAGGTCCTGGGTTCGAACCCCGACGGTAGGTGCGTATTGTTGAAGAGCCCCAAACTAGGATGGGGGAAACTTCTGTTCAGTACTCCCTGCAGGTTTCCAATGGTTCTTTAACCTATGTCAGCTCATGATGAAATTCTGAAAACCAGTACTAAAACTTTGAATCACTCCATGAAATGTTTGACAGTTAGTTTTAGTCACTTGTAGAGGCATAGACCTCCTCAGGATTCTAAGAACTAATGGTCGGCGACATCTGTTGACATGATTCAAAATCATACTCATTGCAAAAGATGCAATCACTCTTTTCAGTCTGCCATATTCAATAAACCCCGAATGTTTCTCCATGTTAGTATTAGTTCTCTGTCGTATTTCTGTTTTTTTTTATAATTTCTTCCCGCTATTTTATCTGCCTTTGTGTGCTTCATGGAGTGTGGCAAATTGAACTGGTGCAATTCCATGGGAAGTTCTACGTTTAAATCATCCGGTCAGTCAGTCATGTGTTGACCTCCAGGAACTTTGTCTATTTCAGGTTTAACCCCCCAACTGACTTCAGTTAAAGAACCCCTGAAAGTCACTACTGGAGTACCAGAGAGCTAATTCGTCCTAGCCTTGGACTTCCAAGTAGTATACACACGCCCATGAGTCCACCCAGTAGGCATCAAACTCGGGATAGTCAGCTTATAAGGTAGGCCAGCTGACCACTCAGCTGACTAACCTCTCCCAATTCTCGATATACATACATGGGAACTTCCAGTTAATGTCATCGACGAGCATTTGCCTTCATACCCAACTTCGTATATACCCTGATGATCACAACTTCCTAATGGAGAACTTCATTCTGTAGTCAGTCACTAATAAGAGTAAGATTAGTTTTTCAAGGATCGGTTTGCACAGATGTGATTCATCACTAACTGGACTGAAAGGTTTGCTCTTTGTTGTTCTCCTGTGTTTGAAACGTTGAGTGTGTTTGATTCGAGTTTTTCATTTGAGACACCATCGCTCATTGCGGAATACAGGTACATCTACCGACTATTCCAAAACATCCTAAATTTCACTGCTAGTCACCACCAGCCGAAACAGCATCATGTTAGTCGTCTTCTGTCATCGTCGAAGAGTAGCCTGTGTATCGACAGAGACATCGAGCATTTAGGTTCAATAATAATTCATTAAGAGCAACAGTGTGGTTTGTGCAGAATAAGAAGATGGTACCATCCTGTGTTTATTTCGTTGGCTTCTCATCAGCCCAGCTGCTTACAGCCTTGATAAATTATTATTAAGTTCATGTACAAAAACAATTTTAACATACTTGCGAATTTCCTTCACGATGTCAGTTGACAGGAGGTTCCGGAATTAGTGAATAGTGCTCAGAAAATTGCAAACAAAGTAAATGTATGCATACAATGGTGGGGGAGTTACGTAATAAAGACGAGAGATGTGTAAGATGCTGAGTGATTAATAAATTAGGTCACAATGTACTGAGTTAAACTCAAATCATAGAAACAAGAGAAAAGCAAAATTACACGATATCAAAGGATGGGGGTGAGGTTGAATGAAACTAAACATTACGCACTCGAATGAAAGAGAGAATAAAGACATCCACTTACCAGGATGGACAAGGAAAGACTGACTGATAACTGCTTCTTTCTGAACACACACATAAATCGGGTTTCAAGCGTTTGACAGAATTCAATAATCCATCATGGAAGAAGCAGAAAAAATTTTAAAAATAAAGAATTATCCTACTTATTTAACTGAATTTTAGATTTTCCCGTCGATCAATTGAACCGAAGTGTTCGGCTTCTTATGCAGATGCTTCGACGATGTCTGGGCATGCAATTCAAAATTAATTAGTGGATGGTGACTAGCAGTGGAATCCAGGATAATGTGCATTTCGTCCTATTTGGGACTCGTCATGTGGACGAACCTGAACTAGGTTCGAGCCTCGGTGGGAACATCATCACTCACTGGGGAATACAGATACATCCAGCTGACGAGTTCCCAAATGTGACGAAATGGCGTTATCCTAGGTTCCACTGCTAGTCACCATCCACCAATCGAAGTACAGTACTGTCTATTCCTTTTATCTTGTCAGATTCTAAATATTGATTTTATTTCTGCTGTTATTTTGTTTTTCCTGAATTTATTATTATTTTTTTTCAGCGTACAGTTTAACTTTTGGCTTTCTTGCCTGGACTACAATGCGTATGAAATACTTATGGACACCACATATGCTTCTGTTAGCTGTTATTGGTTTTAAACAATGCCTAGCTTGCTGTTTAAATCTATTTGTGTATACTGGCTGTCTCATTTATAAATTATATCGCGTTTATTATGAAAAATCAAAAAGTTTTCATAAAAAACTGGACAAATCATCGCATTATTATCAGAAAATTAAAAAAGAAAATAGAAAAATTGACACGAAAATGGAAGTTAATCAGATTGTAAATATCATACTCATAGTATTGATTATTTCAACTGCATATCAAGTGAGTTGTGTAAATATTTAAAAATAATGATGATTAAGTTGTTTGAAGTACTGTTGGGAATTTATAATCAATGGGGTCCAACAGATCACGGATGTGCCACTGACTAGCAGTTGCGTCATATATATATCACGAATTTGCAGTAGTTAAAATTCAGGAATAGGGCGTTGAATCCCCTCCCCCCAACTAACACAGGCACACTAGCTAAATGGTTAACAAGCTCGACTTGTGACCTGAAAGTTCTGGGTTCCACCTCCACCGGTAGGATCATGACTACACACTCCTGATGGGTCTAAAACGGGGAGAATGGCTATCCAATACTCCTTAGTTTTCAGTAGTTCTCTAACTGATGTATCACTGTGGGATCAAACTTCAAATCAATCTAGCCTTTGCAAATCTACACTTGAAAAAAGATAATAATAAGTTTAGTTGGGTGTCATATACTACTAAATATTAATATGAGTAGCTGGAGCAATCACATTAAATATTAATGCCCCGAACTACAAACGTTTGAGTATTTCTTGGGTAATAGGTTACTGTTTACTTCGTCGCTAGAGTTCCTTGTTATTTTTCCTTTCTGACCAGCGAAGGCAGCTGCTGACGAAAGCCTGCAACCTGTTGGAAAAACTTCTGAACAATGAATAAGCACAGATGTGACTGACATGAGTGTTGAAGATCCGTATCTTGTTTCTTTTACTGAGTGTGGCAGGTTTCAAGGGTGATTTTAGAATAACAACATCTTGTCTTGCTTTTCTGATTCGACTCCGAGTGGCCATGACATCCTCATCCGTGTTGGTTGTAGCTGACTCGACGATGCTAATATAGGTGAAAGCGGTAGTCTCCTCCAAATTTCTGAAGTTGTTGGTGTTTGATGCTTATTGTAATTGGTCAAGTATTTTCATCACCTCTATCTTCTTTATATTCACCAGTCGCATCTCCTCTGACTGCCTTTTCTGCCTGAATCAGTGAAAAAAAGTGACCTCGTTTAATTTTATTCCGTTGATGTCGACTGGTGTTTGTTGTTGTTATTGGACTGGTATCTTCATATAATCCACAGATCCGTTTCACTGCTGGGGTTATGTCCACTGGTAGAAGTTGTCTACCACTTGTTGAATAGTCTTCAGACAAGGATGACATATTCCTATAAAATTTCAAAGGATACAGCACGGATATTAACGGATCAAGAGGATAGTAGGGACCATTGCGTAGACATAGTGACGGACAGCATGACTTTATTTCCATTCTAACGACAAAGAGGTTGATTCAACAAAATTTATGAACAATATTTCCATTTTTGGTATTCAGCAAAAACTATATATGTTTATTGTTTAGGACTCCACAGCAATAGTGATGTGTTTTTAATGGATGGGGTTACTAGACTTCAAACCAGCCTTTCCTACTTTCCAGTCCCACAACTGACTACAGGAACTTTAGGAGCGTGTTGGTCGGGAGTCGAACCCAAGACCGAGTGTATGCTTGACAGGCATTCTGCTACTGAACCACTTACACAGTATGAGTGATGCAGTGACGGATGCATAAAAATTCTTTTACTTTGAAAGGGAAATAGAGAAAAATGTGGGTACTGGTTTTTCACCTTCATTTCTCACATTTGTGTATTCGAAGTATAAAGCAAACATTTTGTCATGAGCTGAAATCGGTTAGAGAATCATTGGAAGACCTGGGAGTTTGGAGTTCCTCATCAATACGCACCCACCAGGGTTCGGACCCAGGACCAGCGGAGTACAGCAGGTCCGGTGTGAGGGCAAATACTCGCATGCGATGACGTTAGCTAGTGGTCGCGCTATATCGTGAATTGGCCGAAGTGGGAATTCATGTGCTGGCCATTGGATTGGGTCCCAGTGGCTGAGTGGTATATCAACTCGCCTTGTAACCGAAAGGTTCTGGGTTCGAACCGTGGCAGTGCATGCGCACTGATGAAGAGTCCCAAACTAGGACCAACCAGCTATCCAATACTCCATGATGGTTTTTAACTGATCTCAGCTCATGATGAAATCCTGTAACCAATCTAATTCCTGCAAACCAACACTTGAATAACAAACAATTTTTCTTTTTATTTCAACAGGCTGTACGTGAAATATCATTTCAACTAAGTCAACTGAGTGAATTCTATGATCCAGATACAGTTGAGTTAATGGAATGGATCAAGTGAGTTAAACAAAAATTACTTCCAGGCTTCCGACATGATTATTAGAAATTTTTAAGGATTTAAATTTATCTCAACATACTCTTTGTGACGAATTTATGCATCTTTTAGAGAGTCGCTGAAGACCAGAGAGTACTGGACACTTGTATCATCCTAGTTAGAGATTCTTTATCAGTGAGCATCCCTGATCCCACCAGGGATTAAACCCTGGACCTTCAGATTACTAGACCAACCCATTGATCTTTCAGTTGACAGTTACAAAATTCCTATTGGAGACACAAATTACTTATCTCAGCTAGCTGAGAATTTTGCATACTATTCTGTTCCCATTTTGACTCAAACAAACTCATAAAACTTGTGAAACTATATAAGACATGTAACGAGTAGAACATAAAGACTCGGCAGTACATTTCCATTACGCTTGATTCTTCTCCATGAATTTCACCTGACTACACCACTGCCCGCAAGCTGTTATCTTCTCTCCCTCTTCCTCACATTATCTCCTCTAGGTCACCTTTGGATGCCAAGCCTTTTGCTTCATATTCAGGTTCAATAAAAGCGACTGAGGTGTGACGTTAACCAGTGGGCATTCTAGCCTATTTCTGGTCCAACTTCATGTTACGTCGACAGTGAAGTGAATAACCGACCCGTCGCCAGTCTGTTATGAACCTGTCACCAACTGATATGATCGCGTCGACAGTTAACATGACCGACAGGAGTTATGCATGGTTATAATAATACTGACTCAATAGACTATACAACTGATTTGCTAAATATGCCTATTTGTCTATGATACCTTGCGCCTCACTCAGCCACGTAAATATCAAGAGGGAAAGACTAGCTTATGACTAATAGGACAACCTTTTACTACGAAAAATCACGTCATATTTATATAATTTTAATTACATTGAAATCGGCCCAGGGCTTTGGGAAACAGATTGCTCTGATTGGTAGGCGATTCGGCTAGGTCGGTGAAAAACAAAAATTCTGATTGGTTGACGATTTGATCCAGACCAAAGTGAGAAAAAGATGATGAAATTTTACAGTCATCTGATCACATGATGAATTATTTAATGAATCATAAGATGACTAATATTTTTAAGCTAATTCTTATTACTCCATTACCTCCTTCAAATCTGTTAGGCAATAAATAGGTTCTTGAGTGACTGGCTCTTAGAGTTCACCTACCTTTATCCTTACTGGTGGTGAACATAGTCAATGATATTCAAAAATATTCCAAGCTACTTTCTATAACTATATATTTTGAAAGAAATTCATGAAGAACCTAATGGAGTGGAGTAATGCAACATGCTTTGGATGAAATAATATTGCTTCAAGTAAACCATCATCGATTATCATTATTATTATTATTATTATATAACTTGAGGATCTTGCAGTATAAATGGGGTAAATACCTTACAATGGAGTAAGCTTTGAAGTTTCCGTAGGTGTTTGGTTGATTTTCTGGAGTTTGGTCTCTAGTCCCACACCTAACAGGGAGAGAAAACAGGGACAGTGGGATCCAATCCAATGACCAGCCCAGGAATTCCAACTTTTTCCAACTCATTATTATAGGGCTTCGGCCACACGTCTCCACTGCGTTCGGTTCACTGCCACCGTTTTCACCTGGCTGCGCATCTGCCCACATGGTTTCACCTCTTCTTCACATGACCTCCCCCATGTCACCCTCGCACTGACGACCAACTCTCCGCTTCCCGTTCGGGTTCCACTCGAGAGATGGCATGGCGTGTAATATCCCTCAATTGATGATTTTCTCAGAGTATGGCCAATTCACCTCCATTTCTTCGTGCATATTTGTTGCACAATTGGTTCCTGCTGGATTGGTTCACTCCCAGAGATCCCTCCCTGTTGCTGATTTTTTCTGGCCATCTTATCTTGAGTAGTGTTGAACGGAGACAGTTGTTAATGAAGTTCTGTAGTTTGTTCGAAGTGCCGTTCGTGACGTGGCACCAAGTCTCTGATCCTAACGTATAGTAATTAGCAGTGACTTAACAGCCAACTAGTAAAATTGGGGAAGTTTAGGAGTCATTTGGTTGTCGGGGAAGAAATCCGGTCAACGTGATTGACAAGAAAATCTTCCAATACTGAACCACAGATGCACATTTTGTTCGTGTTACTAAAGGAAATTAACACTAACATAATAAGTGAAAACCGTTCAAACTGGTTTTTTTAATTTTGAAAAGTAATTTATGCAATAAGAAAGAGTGAAAAAGCAAAATTCTGTTCTGTTGCCATAGTTACCAACATTATAATCCCATTTAAAAAGTATCGAGGAGATTTTTCTGTTTGGTATTTTTCTTCTCTGGTAACTTAAATTGTGTTGAGAGCTAGCTGCAAGCCAAACTTGGAGACAACAATTCACGTGATTGTTTATGTCCCGAATCGGGGTCATGAGAAAAAACGATAACAAAGCTTAATCATGAGGAACTCACCAACCAATCACAGCAGATTTAACTTGTGCGAATACGATTCGCAGATATATGGCTAAACTTTCTGAGAAACGGTCACAAGTAGTACAGAATAACCTTCAGCAAGAAAACAACCAGTCAGAAGATGTTGCTTGTCTGCTAACAATAACGCTGATAATAATGCACATAAAAATCTATAAATGCCTCATGATTTTCTCAATAAACAATCTGTTGCCTGGTCCTTGTCTTTTGTCGTTACATTTGGTGTCGCTGTCAATACATTTGAATTTATATATATGTCTGTCTTTAATTTTCTTCCTCATCTGCTTTTCTGTTCTCATATATTTTAGAAGTAATGTAAACAATCGGAGTATATTCACAGGTAGTATGCAATTAATGGCAGCGATAAAATGTTGTACATCTCGACCAATAGCTAATCATCCACATTATGAAAATGCTGAATTGCGTAGGCGGACAAAAGAGGTAGGCTGAATTCATCATCCTTGTTAATATTATTATTATCATTCCCTTGGGTTCCGAGCGGAACATCTCTATTTCAATCTTTTCTACCCTCTGCAGTGCATTTGTAGCTGGCGCCATACTTACCCATAAGCTTACATGTCTTCCTCATCATATGATCTACATCAGGTCAGCCTCGTGGCCAACTGCCAACTTGTCGTCTCCCATTTGGGTTCTAAATGAGCGCGAGGCTGGCGCTTTATGTCACTCAGTGGTCTCTTCAGCGGGCATGTCCAGTTATTCTCTATTTCCTTCGGAATATTTCTTAAGCAGTAGGGTCTTGATTGATTTGTTCTCAGAGTTTCTTGTTGGTATTCTTTTCTGGTCAGCCATCTGATCTTCATTATGAAGAGGTGACAGCTATTGATAAAAGTCTGTAGTTGCCTGTTAGGAATGCTTTCCGTTACGTAAACGCCAAGCTTCTTACCCATGTAGAAGAACTGTCTGACTTAAAATTGGTGTTGGAAATCGGAATTTTGTTCTTTTTGATGGACGCGGTAGACTTTTAAACTGACTTCAGAGTGATGAAGATCTGTCTTGTCTTTCCGAATCCTGTTTAAACGAAGTCACTTCTTCACTTATTCTAGCAGTATAATTTCACCTACAGGCGGTACGGACTAGGATGTGAAAAGCAGTTAGGATTTGAAAGGTTAGGCAGACTTACACCACTCTGAAATCAGTGCGGAAATCTTCTTCACTTGGCGCTAAGAACAAAGTTCGGATTTTCAACGTCGATGATAAATCACTTCTTCTGTATGGTTCAAAAAACTGGAGTGTCACAAGAAGCATTTCCAACGAGTTGCAGACTAATATCAGCAGCTGCCTTCGCACCATATTGCAGATCAACAAGAAACTCTGGGAAAGAACCAGTCGACAAGGCATTGCTCAACAAATAATCCAAATAAAATTAAGATGGATTGGACACACGCTGAACAGACTGTTGAATGATATCGCTCGCCAGGCACAACCTCGAGGGGAATTCGAATGGAAAAAACAATGACTTGAGCTTAAAGTGTGATTTGGGGAACATTGCATGAGTAGAAGATGAAAGTCCTTGAGCAGTCGTGAGGCGGCAAAAGGAGCTACAAACGACAGGATAAAATGGAGATGTGCCCTTGAAGCCGAATATTCTACTCGGACCTCAAGAGAATGGTAACAATATTAATCATTAGCTCAGAAAAGATGGAGGGTTAAGCATGAAACTAGCAATCCAACCCGCTCCCCCCCCCCCCGTGGAAACGACCGCACTGCTAATGAAGCTTCAAATAAGTCAAGCTCAATTCTACTTCCACTTGGGAAGCTAAGAAATGTTTCTTTCAGCCATACATTTCCACTCATTACAGTTCTTTTGAATTTCTTTGTTCTCTCTTTTTTTTACCCTTGTGGGTTACATGTAGTGTGATAAGTTGAACTACTACACTTCTCTACTAATATCTACGTTGAAACCCAGTCAATCAGACAGTTAGTGGTGGAGTTTCACGCATAGTTTCCAAAGGAAAATGAGGTGAAATAATCACTCATAGTGTGTAAACTGCGAATTGTGAATTCGATCTACGGAATTACCAGTTTGCCTAAGTAATTAGCCTCAATTCAGGTGGTTTCAGGTGATTCGGTTCTCTTATGTGAGTTAAAATGGTTACACCGCTGATGGGATATTATCGTTCCCTTGAGTTCTGAGCAGTTCTGAACATAAGCCTTCAACAACACATCTCCACTTTGTTCTATTCAGTGCTATCCTCTTCAGATGCATCCATGACTGACCAGAATTTCCTCATCTCCTGCATATCACCCTCCGACAAATGACTTACTCGTCGCTTCCCATTTGGATTTTACTCGAGCGATGACCTGGCGGACAATGTCACTCGACGACCTCCTCAACGTATGCCCGATCCATCTAACTCCATTTTCTCCTATATATTTGTTGAGCAACTGACTCTTGGTTGGTTTGTTCATCGTCAGGGTTTCTTGTTGCTAATTCCTTCTGGCTAGCCATTTGATCTTCAATATGAAGCCAGCTGAAAGGGGCAGCTGTTAATGAAAGTCTGTAACCTGTTGGAAATACTTTTCGTGACACGCTGGCCAAGTTTCTCACCCATATAGAAGAACTGACCGACTTCACATTGGTGTTGAAAATCCGAATCTTGTTCTTTATGCTGAAGTGGAGTGCAGAAGATTTCCAAACTTGTTTCAGGTTGATGAAGGCGTATCTTGCCTTTCCGGTCCTAAGTGGATTTGACACCTTCATCCGTCCCGCCTGTCGTGGAAACGATGCTTCCTAGATAAGTGAAGGAGGTAACCTCTATCAAATCTCTCCCGCTGATGGTGACTGGTGCTGGTTTTCGTTGTTGTTGCTGTTTGTTGGTTACCTTCATCACCTCCGTCTTCTCTAAGTTCCCCTGAAGTCCTGCTTTTGATAGCTACTTCTTCAGCCATTTTGTTGGTTTTCGCCTGTAAGTCTTCTAGTTTGCGTGACATTAAACATAAATCATCCAAAAGCGAAATCCAGATCTTCTAGCGTCTTCTTATCGGTCCATCTTCTGAGCGTTTCTCATCCTGTGCACACTGTGACGTATAATCCAGTCCACTACAGTTAGGAATATCATCGGTGATAGTAGGCAGGCAGGCTTATCTTACTCTTGTATTCACTTCAAACGCCTCGCCGAATGGGTGCCAAATTTAATGGATTCATAACTGTAGAGCCTGAAGAAAAACTGATTGAAAGCAATAAGTGTCCGCTGTAACTATTTTTATTCTTTTTTGATCAAATAATTTTTTTAACGAGATATTTTGTGACATATATATGTTTTTGTTTTATTAATACTATTTAAAATGTCTTCCCTATAGCTTTATCAAATCTATGGAAGGAAATCACTGGATGAAGTATACAGCATATTACGTAATTATTCAATTGATTATTTCATTATTGAAACATCAATATGCTTCACTAAGAGTACAGGATGTCGTGAAGCTGATTTAATTGATTTTGAAAATAATGAGGTTAGTTAAAAGTTTCTAAAAAATAAAACAAAAATAATAATAATATTCACTACACTGGTAGATTACAGCTCAATAGCATCAACATAAAAATAAGCTGAATGTCAGAAAAATTAGGAAAGATAATATTACGAATTCATGAATTTATAGTCTCCACTGAAGGTACTTCCTCGACTGAAAGATGAAGTAACTAGACTGGCCACTTCAAATTGTATCTATCAATTCAACTGCGCTTGTGCAGCGAGTTGTATCGGCCGTTGCTGTAGAAACTTGATCTTTCATGCTCCGGAACATCTCCCACCATGGCTAAGTAAAGGTGTAGTAAAAACCACTAACAGTTCGATATTGGGCCATCTGGTACAAACCGGCCACAAAGCCAGTGTGGAAGAATCCTTCTCAGTCATCTACGGGGTGCCTAATAAGTTGCCAAAGACATCGAAGCACCACATGCTCCAAACACTAGAGGCTATTACAATTCGCCCCAAACAACCAGTGCTTTGTATGCAAAAGAAGCAAGTCTAGCCAGCCATGGCAGGCCTTCAGTGGAGACTATAAATCCATGAATTTGTAATATAATAATGAGGAAAATTTGGAGAACATGTTGGACTTCTTTAACAGTTGCCATCCAGCAATCCACTTCACACTAGAGAAGGAGTCCAACGCAACCATATCTTTTCTGGATGTGCAACTAGCAAGACGCGAACAAGATGGGACACTCAAAAGATCCATTCACAGAAAACCGACATGGAATGGACAACTCATCAGCTTTTACAGTTGGGTGCCTCTATATACAAAACGAAATCTAATCCGCTCACTGACTCACAGAATCCACAACATCTGCAGTCCGGAAACCATAGAAGAGGAGCTGAAGACCCTGAAAAGAATCCTCCTTGAAAACGGTTACCCGGAACGTTTCATCACAAAAGCCATGAAGCCCAAAACACAAAAACCGTCCATGCTTACTGCTCCCAAGAAACTTGTCTATTTGAATCTACAATTCAACGGAGATTCTTCAGCAGAAATACTGAGAAACCGCCTGTGCCGCTCACTGAAGAAAACCTTCTTCGCAGCTGAACTCAGACTAACTTTCTCCACGAAACCAATGATTCGCACGAACGTGAAGGATAAGCTTCCACTGGGGGCCTCATCAATGTGCATCTACCAATTCACCTGCTCATGTGGAGCTAGGTATGTCGGCCGTACCCAGCGTTTGCTATCCAAACGAATCAGCGAACACTTACCTTCATGGTTTTATAAAGGAGAAAGAAGATCCCCCCGCCACAGCTCTATCCTAGAACACTTGATCGAATCCGGACACCAAGCAAACCCACAAAACAACTTCTCAGTTATCTACACAATACGTGGGAATCTTGCCAAAAGAGTACGAATTAAACTTCTTCAAACTGCGGAAGCAATGGCAATTCACATATTGAATCCTGAACTCTGCATACAAAAGAAGTTTGTTCAGTCACTAAATCTACAATGGTCCTGATCTATCTCAACACCAAATACGTAATTTTGTCTTACCTCTTTCTTCTTTGTTTGTCTGTTTCTTAATTGCATTATTTTCTATCCCCATCCTCTATTAAATCTCTACCCTCATGACGACTGTTGCTAACTCCATTTTCGTTTATTTTTAAATGAATTCTACGCAGCTTATCAACTTAACTCTTATTTATTTTCAAGTGAATTCTACTCAGCTTATTAACTTAACTCTCATTTTTCATTGAACCCTATCAATTAGATTACGTCACCCAACCTACTTTTGTAACTTTATTTTAGTTTCTAACCGATTAACGCCTTCTAAATTACGTAATTTGTTGTCAAAAATTAACAATTGCATTAACACATCTTTGGAAATATTCCTTTTGTGACCAAGAAAAAAAACTACTATAAATTTGCGGTTTGTACAGCTTGAGAATGATATCGCCGAAAAGAGTAACTCTTTGCTGAATGGCTTTTCTTTTCTATGACTGAATGGGAATTTTCAAATATTATCTTTCCTAATTTTTCTGACATTCAGTTTATTTTTATGTTGATGCTATTGAACTGTAATCCATTGATATTGTTATTATTGAATCGATATTATTTAAACAACATTAATGTTGTTCATAACACTAATTCATTCATTCATTCACTACAATGTGTATATATAACAGTAGAGCCTGATGGTGATGAAGTTATCGAAAAGAGTATTCTTTGTTCAGTATCCATTCTTTTGAAAAATTTTAATGGGCATTTTTAATCAGTTAAAATATTCGAAATGTGTTGCGCGAAAACTTCCGAAAATAACTCATTTTTAAACATTTCAGGTTATTTTCGTTGTTTTTTCTTTCTTTTTTTCAATATTTGAAGTAGTTATTACTCATCATTCCGTGTAAACATTATTCTTTCTCCCTTTATTTATTTATTTATTTCAGTGGCCTGATGCTTGGCTTCTTGGTCATAATCAACAACAACAACATTAATGTGACTAAAATACGAACACCATACAGAATTTCTAAAGAATTTGCAAGTCAACTTAGAAGACCAAAATATTTTCGTCGACGTTTCTGTACTACACTAATCAGTAGTAATAGTGGTAGTAGTAGTAGTAGCAGTAATATTAAAGTCAATGGGAAAACATCAACCAATAATGGTTTGCATCATTTTCGACTTGTATTTCATAATCCAACATTTTACATTTTCCAAGTTTTAAAGAATTAATATTTTTCATTGTTTATTTATTTTTTGTTACTATTTTGTTGTTGCGTTTGTTTTTGTTATCTGTTATGAATTAAAAGTCAATCTGAACGAAGAATATTCTTTTCAATACATCCTTCTCTTCCGGTTCATACAATTACAAAATATAATATATTTATTGTCGTTACAATAGTGAGAGTCAGTTATGCGGCGGATACATTTTTTAATGTCGAATAACAGATTAGCAGTTATGGGGTGTTAAAATAAATAGTCGTATTTGAGTGTGACAAACGTGCTAGTATACACACTTCCTTAGCTTGGTACCGATGAAATTCAAACGTAATCTGATCAGGTGCTTAGCATTTATAGCGAGGTCCATTGTTCCGAAGACTGTAGGTCATCCGAGACATTCTAAGCGAGAACAGATATCCGGAGAAGTTCATTAAAGCCAACATAGGTTACAATAGTCGTAAACATGAACTGACGGCAATGGTGGAGAAAAAGCCTCTGTTTTTACGTCTCCAATTCAAGGGAGATACTCCTGCGGAGATTCTATCGCTAACTTTCTAATCTGTACGTCTGTGTCTATCCTTCAGTAGCCTTCCAATGTTCGCCCAGCAACTCAAAGATGTCTTACCTAACCTTAGTTCTTCTTCATGCATATACCATTTCAACTGTTCCTATGGTTCAAGTTATATAGGGCGGATGATTAGACAGGTTCGTCTACGGGTTCGAGAACATTTACCAGCTTGGTTCAACAGGGGGAAATTAAGTGCATAAAAGGTTCGATCCTGTCACACTTGGTCGATACTGGACATAATATAGATGTCAAGACAGCTTTCAGGGTTATATATACCGAATTCCGAAGTCGTTATCACGTACAGTTAGTTCACTTACGTCTCCTACACATAGCTGAAGCTGTTGCCGTAAGATCGACTAAACCGGAACCTTGTATCCAAAAAGAACACGTCCAGACGCTGTTCCTACCGTGGCAAAACTTGGATTGATGACTCTTCTTCTCACCAAGAGTGCTTCTTCCCCTAAACCCTCTTGTTTTTTCCCCTTTGCTTATTATTACAATTATCACCATTATTCGTCATAATCTTTACCCTTCATGCAAACATTTTCTTAATACTATCGAATTTTCCATTTATACTATCCGGACTTATTATTAGTGATATTATCTCTTCTCTCACTATATGCTTCCACCTGTTTCATTTCACGCATTCGTTATTTCATGATGAACCTCTCATTGCAGTCTTACTATCTCCTGTTTAATACACACCACTTTGTACTAGCCAGTCACTCACCTGACACCTTTTATAATCTTGAACTGACTTGTCAGTTTTCCTACCCTAGCACGTTTGTCACACTCAAATACGACTATTTATTTTGACAGCCCCTAACTAATCTATTATTCTACGTTAAAAAATATATCCGCCGCATAACTGACCATTATTGTGACGATAACAAATATTGCATATTTTGTAATTGTAAGAACCTGAAGAGAAATTATAGAGAAGAATGTTCTTCGTTCAGATTGACTTTTAATTCATGATATGGGAATATTTCACACTATTATATCTGTTATGAGTTTGAATAGTAAAAATGACAGTATAAACAGTAAACAGAGTTGACTTGTTTTTCAAATTTGCCCGTGGAATGATATCAGTTAAAGAACCATTAAAAACCACCAGACAGTACTGGACAGCTGTCTCACTTTAGTTTGGGAATCATGAGCAGTACGCACCCAGCATAGGGGCTTCGAAACCAGGGCCTTCCAGTTACAAGGCAAGCTGGCTCGTATACCATTCAACCACTGGGACTCGATTCAATGGCCAACTGATGAATTCGTGATATTTAGTGCTTCACCATCCGAGGTCTAACTCGAATAACAAATCAAATCCTTTCAAATCAACTCTTGAAAATTAATCTGATGCTTGCTAGTGACTGATTTGCTACAGGACGAAGGTGCCTGGAGTTCTAATGAGAAATCGTGACCATTGAGGTGCATCAAGTCTGAAGTGAGGATGGATTTCCCGCCGATGACATTGGTTGGTGGTAACACTAAAAAAGATGACGAATCGGTAAAAGTTAGAATTCATGGGCTGGCCGCTGAGTTGGGTCCCAGTGGCTGAATGGTATACGAGCCCGCTTGCCAAATAGTCCCAAACTAGGCGGACGAAATGGATGTCCAGTCCTGCTTGGTGGTTGTCAGTGATTCTCTACCTGGCAACGATCAGTGACCAAACTTGAAGTGTTAGATATCATTGTTGATTAACATTTTAATATAAACTTTATTATTTGAAATGGATATACTTTGAAGTTTGTAAATGCCCTTAGAAGTCAGTTAGTTTCAAAACTTACAGTTTGTTCTGCCCCAGAGAAAGGTGTTCATATCAAATTACTATACAATAGTGGAATGGGAATAAAAATAGTAGAAATTTAAGACAGACACTGAACTCGTTCGTTAGCAAAACACACAATGCAGCCTGGTTTATAGTTATTGACAGTACCGAAAATATTCTCTACTACAAGCTTCAACTATTTCACATCCTATACTATATACCAGTTTACATGTATGTGTGGTCGCACATACATCTACGAAGAAGTAATCGTGGTTTGCACATGAAAGTGGGAAGACCTATACCCAATTGTTTGGAAAAACAAATGAACTGTGAAACCTCGGTGAACGCAGGTGACAGACTACCAACTTTGCCTATAACTAAACACTCAGTTGACATGATACATCACAACATTTATATCGAAACAGTTTTGCAGGTACACCCAGTTGACGAGTCCACCAAATAGGACGATGTGCGCCTTCTGGATTCCACTGCTAGTCACCATCCAACAAATTACCTCAAGGTAATCCTCAGACATCACTGAAGCGTCCACACTAGTAGCTGACATGTCAGCAGAGGTCGAACATTTCCGTCTAATCAATCAATGGGGAAATCAAAATTACTTATAAAAAAACATCAAGTGGAGCTTACTGATATACTTTGAGGCGATAGCTATTCGTAAACCGACTGCACCCTCTCCTATGTGTGTACAAAAAGCTATTCATTATCACTCTTAACCTATCTAGGTAATCGTTATCTCTGATTGTAAAACCAAACGTTGTGTTAATTATTCTTGAATTCTTTTTGTCATATTGTGTGTTTTAATTGACTTTTCTCATTTTCCATATAAATTGACTTGACAAGTAAATGTGTGGGAGACCAAACTTTCCAAATTCCCATTTAAGCATTTGGAAAAAACAACAGATTGAGCGAAAAAATATATTCCTTCTCAATTAGTTCCTCATCATCGAATTTACACTAATATATAGTTTTCTACATCAAAAGTTTTTACCAGTCAAGTGGTTATTTTAGTTAATCAGTTTTAGGTATAGGCGGAGGTGAAATCAAGAGGTTAAAGGTCATCAAGACAAATAATTTATAATGAATCAATCTGACTCGGTGCTCAAATTATCCCAGGAAGTTCGTAACATCTACGGTCTGGAAACTTATAATCAAATAACGAATAGATGTTGGTAACAAGATATCTAAGTTTTAAAGGAGGGGTGAAAATTAGTTATGTAATTCAAGATAAGTTGATTCCTAGGAGTTGGCAACAAGTTGTTGCATAATCAAGAAATTTACAAAGTGAACGAAATATCCCCATATTGAGTCATAAGAAAAAGGCACAAACAGCGAAGAAAATTTTCTTTTCGACGATTCATTTTCATGAGCTGTACAATCGTAATTATGATGATGAAAATTGTGATTTAGATTCTCTCCTCAAAACCTTCAACACAGCGCATCCATCAATAAGTTTCACCTTAGAAAGAGAATCGAACAACGCATTTCCATTCCTTGATGTACTACTCACCAGACGACACGACTGTACGATCCAAAGATCAATATACCGCAAGCCAACATGGACTGGACAGTTTATCAACTTTCAGAGCTTCGTCCCACTAATCCGAAAGAGAAACCTGGTACGTACGTTGTGCTCAAGGATTAGAAAAATCTGCTCGGAAGACATGGTGGAGAATGAATTAAATTTATTACGTAAAATCCTACTAGAGAATGGATATCCACCAAGATTTATTGACAAAAACATGAAGGAGAAGCCTCCGATGTCAAACATCGCAACGGTTCCTAAGAAGACTCTCTTCATGAACCTAGAATTCAAAGGTGATGTCGCAGCGGAAATTCTCAGAAACCGCCTTTCTAAATGTCTGAAGAAGACATTTCCAACAGCCACTCTACGTATCACATTCTCCTGCAGACAGTTAATCCAGTCTAACTCTAAGGACAAGATACCGCTTTTGGCCACCTCAATGTGTATTTATCAATTTACTTGCTCGTGTGGAGCAAAGTACATTGGCCGTACGCAACGTCAAGTCCAAAAACGTATTCTGGAACACTGCCTCGCTTGGTTGGCCAGAGGAGAAAAGAAGAGTAGCAACAGCTCGATCCTCGAACACCTTGTCATCTCTGGAAATCGAGCACCCCCACATGAATGCTTCACAGTGTTACACAGAGTCCCTCAATATCGTACAAAGGGACTTCGGATTCGCCATCTGTACATAGCTGAAGCATTAGCTATTCGAGATCTGAAACCGGACCTCTGCATACAAAAGCGATACATACATTCTCTTGCCCTACCATGGCCAGAGTAAAGTTCTTATCACAATTTTGCTTCTTTCCTTTATTATGTAAGTTCACTATTATTACCATTATTATTTTATTTTATTAATACTTTTACTATCATTCTGTCCCCATCATCCACATTT